TATCTTGGTTTGTTTAGCTTCTATAATTGAAACTCTGTTGCCATCACTGGCACTCTAAGCTCTGAGCCTGCTGGCGGCTGAAAGCAGGTTTCTGGGTTTGTTTACCTTCTATAATTGGAACATTGTTGCATTTGGAGCTCAGAGCTGGGCTGCGGCAGGTGGGGAACCTTGGCTTCCTCTGTCACTGGAGCAACCAAGCCTCATGTTCGCTTCAGCTGTGTGGCTGCCGGCCGCCATCTTGGTTGGCAATTAATTTGCATATCTTGCTGATTAGCCAATGGGAAGTGTAGTGAAGTTATGGTTAATTACCATGTTTCTCTATTATTAGATAGGAAGGATATAGATAGATAGATTTGTTGAGTGGAATCAAGGTTTATTTTTAACATATCACTAAATTTGTACTTTAGAGAAAACTAAAAGTTAAAATTAAAGTTTGCTTTTTTATCCAGAGAGATTGTCTCATAAATTTTCATCCAGTAGTGATAGTGATCTTTCTGTTTGGTGGGATTGGGATGATATTTTTCCCCATCTGTTCCAAAACCTGTGCTCTTTTCACATAGCCTATATAAAGTTAAAGTATAAATTCAGTGCTTATTATGTGTCATGTACTGTTCTAACTGCCTTATATTTATGAACTAGGTAATATTATTCCTCCTATCTTTAGTTGAGACAACTGGAGCATGAAAAGATTATAAATTGCCATAGTTACCCAGCTAGTAAGAATTGGAATTTGAATCTGTGGTCCGGCTCCAGAGTTTCTGTCTTTAACCACTGTGTTCTAATGCTTTTATTAACTACACTGTCTCTCATTTACCATATGCTTGGACATAAGCTCATCTTAGTTAACTTTCTTGGAGTTTTAAGTTTTTTTATAGTGTTGGGTACTGTATGTTATCTATAGTATAATAATACATATTTGTGCTTGACTGGATCAGTGAATATGATGGTATGATACAATTATAATTAATGCAGTACAATCATTTCCTAATTCTTCTTGCCTTCAATCAATAACTGTTTTTCAGTATAGGTCCTTATAGGAGCTATATATAGCCAGGATTGGCTATTTTGAAGCAGTTTACTCTAATATTACAAAAATTCAGACAAAGAAATTTCTTAACAAATCTATTTATATTCCTTGCTGATGCTCACTCAAAAATATCTGTGTTTTATTTAGAGTTTTCCCCCCTTGTGGATCCCTTTGTTAAACTGTTTGTTGGTGTATGTTTTTTATGTTAAATGATATTGTGACATAATTTGCTTTTTTATAGATTAAACCTTAAAGAATTTGGGCATACTGGTCATGATAGTGACATTTGGCATTGAATTTGGCCTCTAAAACTTGAAATAATAATGATTTTGATATATGTTTTATTTGATGTCTCTTTCAGAATTCTCCACTTTACCAGTATTTACAGGATCTGGGACACACAGACTTTGAAATATGTTCTTCTCTGTCACCAAAAGCAGAAAAATGCACAGTGGCAGAGGGACAACAAAAGTCCCCTACAAGAGCCCTGCCAAAAGTAAGGAAGCATGCTCTTTCTCTATGACTTAATGTTTTGTTCTTTGCCTTACAAAAAACAAAAACAAAAAAACACCTTGTCCTCCCCCACACTGGTAAGACTTTATTTTTTATTTCATCAGTAGTACAAAACTGCCTGTTTAGATAGAAATGAAACCTTGCTGTTTCAGACTATCTCATGGGTAATTTGTATAATAAGTAGAAATGAATATGGTTGAGGATCAAAATATATTATTTATTTAAATAATGAAGTTATCTGGAAAGGACCAGAAAAATACACTAAAACATTAATTGAGGACCCAACTACTAGGGCTGTTATATTAAGAGCACAAATTATAAGAAAGTAAATTGATAAGGTATTTCATAGTTTCAAGGATATGTGATGGAACGAGTATACTTACCTCAATTTCTAATGCTCTTTATGTTTGCAGTATTATATATTTTTATATAATACATACCTCATAGTTCCTGTACAACATTATGAGGCTAAGATGCTAGAAGAATCTCCATAAATTATCCTATATAATAAAAGGGTAATATGCAAATTGACCAAACAGTGGAATGACCAGTCGCTATGACACTCACTGACCATCAGGGGCAGACGCTCAACACAGGAGCTGCCCCCTGGTGGTCATTTCACTCTTACAGGGGGAATGCCGCTCAGCCAGAAGCTGGGCGAGCGCAGCAGCAGTGGCAGGAGCCCCTCCTGCCTTCAAGGCAGCACTAAGAAGCAGCAAGCTGAGCGTTAAGGAGCGGTGAGCAGGTGGGCAATAAGGAGTGAGGGCTCTCGGACTGCGAGACGGATGCTTAGGCACAGGGAGCAGGTCTAAGCCAGCAGGCAGACATCCCCCAAGGGATCCCGGACTGCAAGAAGGCGCAGGCCGGGCTGAGGAACTTCCCCTCTCCCTTCGCCCCCCAAGTGCATGAGTTTTCATGCGCCAGGCCTCTGGTGTTTTATAAAATTTATTAACCTAAATTCATTTATGTCCTTTTATTTTATTAAAATAAAAAATATATTCTGTTTTAATACAAAGAATTCTAATTTAGTAGAAAACTATAACTAGGTTACCTAATTTTTTGAGCATTCTAATTTAATTGGTGTTTTATTACAAGATCAATTATTTTCAGGAGGTAGCTTTGAAAGTTTTCAATTACTCATTTACTCTAGGGCGATAGAGGTCTTTTCTCCTGTTCTTCTTTGAAAAATCCCTGAAAGTGAGGTAACCAAACTGGGCCCATTTGCAATAGCAGAGTAAATACCAGAGAAATGGTTTGGTTTTTTATTTTGTTTTGTTTTGTTTTGTTTTGTTTTTGACCAACACCCAAAGGGTGAGAGTTAGGAGAGTTAGAGCTCACATGGTTCAGAATCAATTTGCTAGTCCTCTGTACTTAAACCCTTCCTGCTCCTTGGTCCTTTCAAATATGGATGGATGTTCCTGGGGAGGGTTTTGAAAGGAAAACCCACAGATATATCTAATAGCTTATTTATAGATTAAAACTTGAATTTTGGATTACTTGACAAGAAAAGACAAAGAAAGGGACATGGGATTAACTTGCATTGACCTGTGTGGTGTGTTCACGGTGTGTGTGTGTGTGTGTGTGTGTGTGTGTGTGTGTGTGTGTGTGTGTGGTGTTTCTTGTAGGTTTTCAGTCCTTTCATTCATGACAGGTATTTTTACATATAGAAATGTTATTAGTTTATAAATAAACTACAAGCCCTGTGCATGAAATTCATGGACTCAGGGCGGGGGGGGTCCCTTATCCCAGATTGCGGGAAGGTGCAGGTCAGGCCAAGGGACCCCACCGGTGCACGATCGGGGCTGGGGTGGTACAAGGGAGGTTGGCCAGCCAGGAGGGACCATGGAAGGGCTCCATGGCATGTCTGGCAGTCTTGCCCAGTCCCGATCGGCAAGACCCCGCAGCAAGCTAACCTACCAATCAGAGCGTCTGCCCCCTGGTGGTCAGTGCACGTCATAGCAAGCGGTTGAGCGGCCTTGGCATATCATTAGCATATTACGTTTTGATTGGTTGAACAGACAACGGGATGACCGGACACTTAGCATATTAGGCTTTTATTATATAAGATAAAATGAGGGTTTAAAATGTCATTGACTCAGAAATTGAGGAACAGTAAAAAGCATAGCCAGAGGTTATTTTTCAAAATTACCACATGTCTAGAAAGTTTGTTTAGTCTTCACTTACACATTTCAACTGTATGAGCTATATTTTTCTAAAATGGAGTTTTTCTAAATTTGGGGCAACTAAATTTTAGAAAATGTCTATACTATAGTTCCTTCTCAATGGATATATTTTTAGAATTCCCCTCAAAATTCTGTTCAAACAGTGAAGTATTCATTATTTATTTATTTTTTGGAAAGCATTTTTTTTGATATGAGTTTGTGATGAAATGGCCCTTAGCATTTATTGCTTTTTTAACTTTATTTTTTAACGTGATTGTAAAGTACTTACTGAGTAATCTGTACTGGTATTCTCACCATGAATATTTATTGTCTGTACATTTTTCTGATTTCTTTTCCTGTGATTATTCTTTTCTTTCTTTTTCTTTTCTTTTTTTTTAAAGAATCACTGGTTTGCCTTTCATTAATTTTAACCCTTAAGCTTTTAAAAATCAATCAGAAGGCAAGGGTGTAGGAGAACACTTGTCTTATAAACTCATATTAAAGATTCTTATTTGACATTAAGTACGCTCTTTACTGTTTACATGGTTATTTCTGAGTTGCAAAGACTCCATGTTTTTCCCTATATTCCCCCATGCAATCTTGGCTGCCATAATCAGACAGACAAAAATCATGAGGACCCCCTTTTTTGGTATCTGCAGTGGAAGTTTAGAATCAGGCCCCTTCTCTGCTTGATCTGTTTTCTCTGAGAGATGCCCAGTACTTTCTTGCCTTTATTGGCCACTTATGGTCTATTTTCCATCTTCGCTGAGTTCCAGATCTTTGTTCGACATTTCCACCTACCTGTGCCCCAGGAAACTCAGATTCAACATGTCTAAAACAGAGTTTTCCTGGGCACCCCACAAACAAACAAATTTTTTTTATATTTCCAAATTATACCCTCCTAGTTATCTTACAACTTTCCATCACTCCCAACTTGATTTGGTCACAAAATAGTATGTCAAGTCAGCTTCTATGTCTCTAAAATCTATCCCTAATTATTACCATTTTTGCTATCCTAGTGCAGGCCTATGACATTATTTAGCTGTACTACTTACTCTCCTAATCATGCTCTTGGCTACAGCCATTCCCTGCCAGTACAGCCTCTGAACTGTTGCCAGTTAATTTTCTAAAATGATTTCTTTATTATTTCACTTCCTTGCATCAAAACCTTAGTTGGCTCCTCACAGCCTACAGGATAAGATCTAAAAGATGTGTCATATGAGACCAAAGTCCTTTCAAACCCATCTCAGTGTACCTTTTCAACTTTATTCCAGTTCCCTTTTCCCCTTGGGTCTTAGCTGTCCCAAACTGTGCCACCAGCCCCATGGCATGTTTGTCTCTGGCTCTCTCCTGTAATTATCCAGTTCCCTTGCCTGGAATGTTCTAACATCCTTTGTTGCTACATTTCCACTCATCTGTTAGGGTTTAGCTCCCCTTGGCCTCTTCTTTTCCCACATTTTTCACACTTTACATTGGTTTGTAATTATTCGTACTGTCTCTTCTGTATCAAGTTCTTGACAACAGTTTTGTGTTTTCATCTTCCTTCCCATGATTGTTTTTCAGTACCTGAGATATAGTAATCCCTCAAGGAATGTAAACTCCATTTGCTGGCATGCTCAGGAAATGGGCTATTACAGTATATTGAATTCGGGGAGTGATTCAATAATATGCTTTTTATTTCAATGAGACAGTTTTTCTAAAATTAAAATTTCTTCCTGCCTTAGTATTATGGAATAATCTTGGAGAACCCTATGGTTTTCCTCTGAAATACATACTATCATCATTTTGATACAGTTTATAGTATACCGAAGATAAATGGGCTACATCAAGATGACTTCTGGTGGCTCATTAAAAATCACATTTTCAAGACTCATTTCAAACTTACTGAATCTGAACCTTCAGTTTGGGGCCCAGGAATATGTTTCTAACTAAAATCAAATCCATGTATTTTGATATGTAAGTAAATTTGGAAACTAATAAGGAGGCTGAGACATACTGACAAAACATAGAACCTGGATGATTTTCTTTCTTACCCTGATAAAAACTGTGATTCATTAGATGTAATTATTTGAAGTTGTTCTGCTATCTGGTTGTAGTTTAATAATCCTATGTAATGTCATTCATCTCCTTTAGCGAGGCATCCTGATAAAAGTGGCTGAAACCATCAAAAGTTGGATTTTTTCTCATTGCAATAAGAAAGATGATTTACTTCACAAATTGGTGAGTGTTCGTTTTACTTTTTTTTGTCAATATTCAGGGCTCCAGCTTATTAGTGAGAAAATTGGTAAATCAGAATTTGTCTTGCTACTGATTTGGGCAGTGATTAATTTTTATTAGCAATTCTGGGCAGTTCTGCAAAAGGAGATTTTCCACTTCATGAACTGTTAAAGTTGTTTGTGTCTCCTAAGGAAAAAAAAAGAAAGTAAATTCTTCAATAATTTGGGGATCTTTGAATTTGGACTCCGTATTATTTCATACTTCCACTGGTAAGAGGTTATTAGTCACTTACTTAGAATATTCTTGGTAGTTATTGAAACCTTATTTGTTAGAGTACTATTTTCCACTGCCATCTTCCTCCATTGACAGATATTTCTCATAGTAATGAAGGGATTAGGAATATATCCATTAGTGGGATCTTCTCCTTTTTCATTAGGAATTTGACTGTCTTTATCCTTATCCCACAACCAATGATTATAAAGTTTAGGCAAAATCAAAAGTGACTCCTCCCTAATTTATTTATCATTAATCTGACAACTTCAGGTTATTTTATTTTATTAATTTATTTACCATTGTTTGACAACCTCATATGTAAATATTAGTCTCCAGGACTGATAAATCACAGAATTTTCCAAAGACTTGGAATAGTCAGCATTGATAGTCTTTGTGATTCCTGTGAGGCTTGCTTTTTTTTCTTCTCTGCTGTAGCATATCTGTTGCTTGACCTCTTGTCCCCCAAGAAGGAGTACCTCAAGTTTTTACATCCTAACAATACAAAATTGAAGTGATAAAGCTCTTCTCCTGGCTCTTGGTAGGAGAAATCAGGTTACAAGTAAGCAGGCTTTCAGGATCCTCTGCTGGCCTATGACCCTAAGATAATAATAATTATTCTTATAAATTATCATTTATAAAAAAGTGTTCACAAAGTGCTTTCACATTTTGATTTGGCAATCTAAACACTGTAAGGTTTGGTGCACTTACCAGCTGGAATCCTGAGGTTCAGATCACTCAATTTGATTTAAGAATACTGATTAAGTAAATTATTCAAGAATCAGCTAGAAAGTGATAGAGTCAGAATTTGTATTCTGATCTCCTGGTTTCTAAGCCCAGGCTCTGTACTATAATGCACTACCTCTCTAGCTTAAGTATTATTATGTTTTGACTGACTAAAATTACTTTTTTAGCAATCCAAAAGGGCAAGTTCTCTGTTCAGGGTTTCATCTTTGTGGGTGTGTTGAGAAGGTCAATGAAGTATCTTGTCATCTACGTAGAATACCATCTCTATCCAGGTGGAGCCATCCTCATTCTTCAATGATACTAGGACTGTGATAAGGTACATGGATCCACATACATTTTTCAGTGGTTTAATCATAGTCTATATAGTCCTGATCTTTTCATTCTTGGTTCTTTGTCACTGGCCACATATTTTATGTTTTCTTCTTAAAGTATAAAAAAAAATGCCTTCATAGCAACTATGATGGTAGTGATATTAGCACTTTTAAAGTACTTTTTAGCCTATAAAGTGCTTTCAAGTGTTATCTAATTTCCCCCTCATCAGCTTTATGAAATAGCATTATATATTTAAAAGTGTGTAAGATCATTAAAGTGTATTGATGCATAAATAAGTTCCCTTCTCCATCCATAGGGGCAAAAATAGAAATCTCTTTTATTCTTCAGCTGTGCTTTTCATCTCTTTCATTCCATCCAAGCAGAAATCTTCCTAAGTTACCTTCTTGTGCCATTTCTCTATTTAGATCCTTAAAAAGATTCCTATTATCTATCATTTCAAATCTAATTGATCACTTCAGCATAAAAGAGTCTGCATAAATTGCATTAATCTACCTTCCCAGCCTTATCCACCTTTATTTTCATCAACCAACCCAGTCTTCCTTTTCCTTTATTCCATACCTGTTCCTGTATGTCTGTTGGTGCTATTATACTGTGGTGGAATTCCTTCCATTTTTATCTATTATCAGAATCTTTCCAATGAACAGTCCTAGCTCATTTTCAAGGCCTTTCCCAGAAACTTCAGCCCATTGATCTCTTATTTTCTGCAACAACCTAGTAATGATTATCTATGCTATGATCTCTAAGTTTTTGTATATTATGTATGCTTTTCTTTATTGTATTTTAACACTAGCAGCTAACACTTACATAGTGTTTACCGTGCACCAGACACTCTTAGTATTTTGTAAATACTGACTTATTTAATCCTCACAACAACCCTATGAAGTTGGTACTACTTATTTTGCAGATGAGGAAACTGAAAGAGTGGGTGGGGTTTATAAAGGGTAAATGGGGCCAAATATATGGTGACAGAATATGGTTTGACTTTGGGTGGTGGACACACAATGCAATATACAGATCATGTATATAACCCGTGATTAAGCTTGAATATGGATCACTGCATTCCTACTAAGTCACCATTATAATCAGCTAGGGCTGAACTCTGTGGTGTGGGAATGATTAACTGACCAAGAAGAGCAAACCCACTGCTTTAAACCCTAGACCTAACTCTTTTATGTTAATTGCTAAAGGCTTTGCCCTTTAAAAGTTCTCTTTATTTTGCCCAGCTAGCATGGCTCCATGGTTGAACATTGACCTATGAACCAGGAGGTCATTGTTCAGTTCCCAGTCAGGGCACATGCTAGTGTTATGGGCTTGATCCCCAGTGGGGGTCATGCAGGAGGCAGCTGATCAATGATTCTCTCTCATCAGTGATGTTTTTTCTTCGCCCTCCCCCCCCACCTTCCTCTCTGAAATCAATAAAAATAAAAAATATAAGTTCTCTTTATTTTTATCTTACAATTGGGTCATTATTTCTAAATTTAATACAAAATAAAACTTAAAATTTTCTGACAAAGCAGAACATGCACAGTGAAGCAAAACTGACTACTAGAGACAAGCTTTGAAATCAGACTTCTGGAGAGCTACTTATTCTCTTTGGACTTTAGTGTTCTCCTCTATAGAATGGAGAGGAGGAGAATGTACGTCACAGGATTACTGTGAAAATTAACCTATCTGCTGTAACATTCCTAACTTGTCTCCTATCTCTACCATGAACACTCTGCGTAAAACTAATATTGATGACTTGCAGTTCTACAGAAGCTTTTCTGTCTCATCTGACTCTTCCAACTCTTATATCCGGTCAGTTCTTACTCTTACTTTAAGAGTCAGCTCAGGCATAACCTCTTATACTTTCTCTGACTTCATTGCAAGTTTTGGTACCTTTTCATAATACCCTTGGTATACTTCATTGCACTTTGCACATTATGTTGTAACTGTTTACTTTTTAGTCCTTCATTAAATTATGAACTCTTTAAGAGTAGAGACTTAAATGTCTTGTTCATTTTTTTGTCCTTGGTATCAAGCATGGTGCCTGATATGTATATTTCTTGATAGATGGATTGAAGGAGAGGGGAATAAATGAGCTGGTATATGTGAAAGCATTTTGCAAACTATAAATGCTATGCACATGTTAATGTGGTTTTATATTACATTCCTTAATGATGTATTTTTAATATCTGAATGTCCATTTTTATAAGGCCTTGATCCTGCTGATGTAATTCTTTGATACTGGCTACACTGTTACAGTATCCAGGGACAGCATCTTATGTTACAGAATCATATTTTCCATGTGTGTTCTAGCAACTTAATTAATTGGGCTTGACTGGACAGGTTTATTAATCTGTAGTTCACACCTTTTTATTAAAAATTTATATTTCAGCCCTAACTGGTTTGGCTCAGCGGATAGAGCGTCGACCTGTGGACTGAAGGGTCCCAGGTTCGATTCCAGTCAAGGGCATGTACCTGGGTTACGGGCACATCCCCAGTAGGGGGCGTGCAAGAGGCAGCTGAATCGATGTTTCTCTCTCATCGATGTTTCTAACTCTGTATCCCTCTCCCTTCCTCTCTGAAAAAAATCAATAAAATATATTTTCTTAAAAATTTATATTTCACATCTGGTAGTCCAATAATATCCACTTCAATCTTTATTATTTCACATTTACAGTGGGGGGAAAAACACCCCCCAACAGTAGATTGGATTGTTGTTTCTTCTTGGAGTTTATACTGAAAATAAATACCTCTAAATTTTATTAGTACTTTAGGAGCTTAGCATTAAATGCAAAATTATGTATGCATTAATACCTCTCTTCCGGTCTTTTAATGGCAAGGATATTGGATTCCGACTCGACTCACTATATACCATCCTGCAACAGGAAGTCCTGTTACAAGAGGATGTGGAGCTGATTGAGCTACTTGATCCCAGTATCCTGTCTGCAGGGCAACCTCAACAACAGGAAAATGGACACCTTCCAACACTTCGCTCCCTGGCAACCCCTAATATTTGGTACTGTTCAGAAAACATCTATCCTTTGCTCACATATAGAGTATTCAGAGGAAATCTATCATGATGCTCCCCATTGTAAAGGCATTATAAACATTCTGTACATTGTAGCATTGTAATTAATGATATGCAAAGGTTTTTAAAAAGACCTTTTAAAATGAATACTATTTAAAATGAAGCTGGAAACAAATCCACTTTCAACTCAGTATAATTAGTTCTGTATTTTAATAGCCCACATATATTAATGACATGTGCCAAAAAGAATCTGTCTTACCCATATACCTCTATGCACATGTGTACATGTAGGCTTCTCTGGTTCTTTATGTTTCTTTATAGTTAATAGATTATATCATAATCACACTGTAAAGACCATGAGCATAGGCATGGAGGTAAATGATCACCTCTTGCTTTATTGGCTGAGAAGAGATCATCCTATATAATAAGGAGAGAATATGCAAATTGACTGTCACTGCAACACAAAGATGGCTGTGCCCCCAGCGGAGGCGGGGTTTCTGTAACACAAGATGGCTGCACCCACAGCAGAGGCTGAGTTCCCTTAATGAGCAATCAGCAGGGACCTGAGGCTGCGCTACCTCCCCCCACCCCCATGGGGACCTCAGGCCACACCCTCCCCACCTGGCAGGGCTTGACAGGGTACCTCAGGCCACGCCCCCCAACTTGGCACCTGGCTAGGGGGCCTCAGGCTGTGCCCCCCGCCCAGTAGGGCTTGATGGGGACCTCAGGCTGTGCTCCCCGCCCCAGCACTGGGCCAGGGGACCTCAGGCTGTGACCCCACCCTGGCGCCAGGCTGAAGGACCTGAGGGCATGCCCTCCACCCAGTGGGGCTTGACGGGGGACCTCAGGCCACACCCTCCGCCCTGGCGCCAAGCTGGGGGCCCTCAGGACGTGCCCCTGGCTCTGACACCAGGCCAGGGGACCTGAGGCCACACCCCTTGCCCTGACGCCAGGCCAGGGGACCTGAGGCTGCACCCCCTGCCCAGCAGGGCTTGACAAGAGTGGGACTGACCAGATCTGGATTTAGCCCAATGGGGGTGGCCAGCCAGGTCTGGGTCTCGCACGATTTTGAGATGCACGTGGGTGGGCAGGGACTTGACTCTGGGCCCCGTGGTGCACCCCAGGCTCTGACAGAAGGAAGATTTTCATATACATTTTACTAATTTTCTTTCATCTCTGACACTTCTATTATGGAGAAAGGGCAAATAGCAATATTAAAATATTTCCTTTAATTAAACCCCTTTAATGTGTACGAATTTTGTGCACCAGGCCACTAGTAAGGAACATAGTCTAATGATTTACACTATCCTAAAACTTTCCAACCACTTTAAATATTTGGATCTAATGAAGAAGTCCCAGGATAATCTGTTTTAAAAAAAGAAAGAGGAATGGTAAAAAGGGATTTTATATGTACACTAGAGGCCCGGTGCACAAAAATTTGTGCACTCGGGAGGAAGGGGAGGGTCCCTCAGCCCGGCCTGTGCCCACTCGCAGTCTGGGACCCCTCGGGAGATAACGACCTGCTGGCTTAGGCCTGCTCCCGGGTGGCAGAGGGCAGGCCCAATGCCTAGGTGCAGCCCCTGGTCAGGCTCAGAG